GACAGAAACTGACACATCTTCCATTTAACTTTTGAACCTCGAAAATTGTAGTAAACGCTATTAAAATTGCAAACATCGGCTCAGAATTTTGTTGCGATAGTAATTTTTAATAATTTCTAAACGTTGCTAGTTTTTGAGCATCACCATAAAAAAATGTTTATTGACTGACGTTTTTGACCAACGTTAGCCATCACATCGACGAATTGTTCGCAGCTTTCGGCTAATCTAAATAGTTGTTCGGCACTCCGTATTCCAGTCAATCACGAATGTTCCCTAGCCATGACTTTATTTGCTCTCTTCCAATTTCTCTGCGGCTCTCGATTTTACCTATTATTATAAGCTGAAAGAATTTGTATCTTTCTTCTATAAGAATATGCCTTAGGCATGATATTTTTCTTATCTTAATACTCTTAAATAATTCACCAACAGTATTTGTTCTATTTAACACTGCTTCGTTGGTCTGCATGTCTGGCTAAGTTATTCGGATCATCTATACAACCATATTTCGAATGCTTCCAGGCGATTGATTGTGGCAGCCTTTCGGGTCTAGATCTCAGCTCCATATAATAACGCTCACAGGCATAAACTTTGACAATTCTTTGGCGATATTTTAGGTTTAAGTTGTCGTTACAGAAAAATGATTTTGTACTCAGAAATGTTTCAATTCTGCACTTAACCTCTTTTTGTCCAAAATATCTGAATGGGCAATTATCTCAATGTTATGTTCTAATTGTAGGGAAACATCGACGTGGGGTTGGCGACTAAATATCAAATTTTGTCTTACTGATGAATCTCAGTCAATAGTAAATGGGTAATTTTAGACCCATTTTTTGTCATCTCGCATCGACTTCTTATTCTTCCATGTACATACTATACAAAGAAAAACCTTCCATGTGTGGCTAATCAATCTGTATTTGTCGTACCTCTTTTTCTTTTGAAGTGGCATAAAAACAGGCTTCAGCCATTCCGCGGATATTTTACGAATAGTATACATATTGTTAAAAAACTTAGAGCATTGTTGTGATCTTCGTGGATCATTTGCAACACTTCTGTTGGTTCTGTTTAGAACATTAACGAGAAGCTTGCTTTTCTCAATGATAGCATTCTTTCTGCTTTTGATGTTTTTTCACCCGTGGTGTGTAGACGGAAAAGCAGTAGGATACGCCCACCCTGGCTCACTGACAACTTAAAATTTATGATTTCATTGCGAGATAAGGCGAAAGCGAACTTTAAGAAGAATCAGTCATACACAAATTTGCGCTTTTACGACTCAACCTCAAAGTCTCGTGTGTATTTGTTCTATATGCTAGCAATAGAAACATTAATTGAGGTATCAGTAGTCAAACAATATCCGTTCCATAGCAGATCTTCTTCATTTAACAATAAGGTGTCCTTTCCTGTATACGACATATACAAAGCTAAATTCCCATTGTTCATCAAAGGAATATCACTACGTATGTCATTCAATGTTTCAACAAAAATTAAAATTAAAATACTAAAATGAAATACGAGTATTATAATAAACTATTCAGAAAAGATTTTGATCTTAAATTTGGTAGCCAGCAAGTAGATACACGTTGCACGTGCGAAAACCTTTTAATAAAAATAAAGAGTGAAAGTCGTCTAAGCGAAAATGTTAAACGAGATGCTGTGCCAGAAATGATTATCCATAAAAGACGTAGCAAAAAGTTTTATACGACTTTACAGGAACCAACAACACTATCGAAAAGAAAATAATAATGTTGCAGCATTAGCTTTCGACTTCATGCAAAATTTGCAACTACCTAAAATTCCTGTACATTCCTGTATTTAAGACAATTAACCATCAGTTTGTTCTGTATTGATAACATGACGACAGGTGAAGTTGTGTATTTTATATATATTGAGGGTAACGCCAAAAATGAAGTATGTTCTTTTCTGTATCAATATATGGAAAATTATATACCTCATAATGTCAAAGAATTACACTTGTTCAGTGACAGAACAAAAATAACACTCTTATTTGAATGTGTTTTTATTTATCAGATACAGGTAGATTTGACAAAATATAACAATACTTTCTTATTAGAGGGCACTCATTTCTACCTTGTGATAGAGATTTTTCCTACATTAAGATCCCACAAAAGTATGATCGTGTTTAAACTCTACAACTGTACGTAGAGATAATAGCAAACTCTACTTTAAAATAGAAAGTCATGATTCACGTAATAGATGGAAAGGATATTATAAATTTCAGGTTGATGGCCAAAGTGTATAAAAAGACTGCTGTTTCTGTCGAAACTTCTAGAAGAGGTATAGGAAGGGAAAACAGAGTACTGGAGAGATAATGCAAAAGGTATAGTGGTTGCCAAAGAGTTCTATAATGGTATCATATTTAGCACTTTATCGAACTTATTTACGAAATTATCTAATAATGGCACTATAACACTGGCCCAATGCAACTGAGCAATCCTTCGGGAAAAGTTGCTATAAAACCTGACAAAATGGACCATATTAAGAAGTCCACTGCGTATGTCGAAGATTCTCCAGAAACAGCCATGTTTTGGAATGAAATTTTTGATTAGCCTACTATAGAATAAGGATATGTATCTTTGAGTTGGTATTTATTCTTGTAAGTTTAGTTTTTATTCTTCTATTTAGTTGAATAGACTGTTTCTTGAAAAATGGAGTTGACTACAGAAAGGGTATAAGATTTTGATAAATTAATTACACAAATTTAAATTATTTTTATGATCTATGGCAAAAACAACTGATAATAGCCAGAAGAAAGTTTGCAATAATAATGCCCATGTTTAAAAAAGACATTTTTTCTCGTTCTTCTCAAAACTAAGTTTTAGTGACATATATCCTTTCTGCAATTAGCCATTCAATTGTGTTTTTGAGGTATTGTATTAACACACATAAATATACATAATAATACCTATAAATAGCCCCTAAAATGTGTGATATATTTTTATCATCAAGACTGTTATTTAAAATATTACCTGTACACAGTCTCGATGGCGTTAGTTTCTAGTAACATTCAGTAAAGTCTTTAAGACTATGGTGCTGTCTAATTTTTACCGATAATATATTCTGTCCTGCTTTGAAGATATGATTTAAAGAAACCAGAGATATGTAATGTATCTAAAACGATGAGAAATACCATCTAACTATCTAATTCATTTTATATCTCAGAATAAGAAATAAGCTTCACAAAAGGAGTGTTATTAGGTCTATTTTTGTAGTCATCTTTTATATGAACTAAATATCTTATCGGTTGGGTTTACCCCAACAGAATACATATAGCTATAATCCTAACTATAAATATTTAAATCCTAAGTTGAACAATGATTCAGAGTAATTGCCACACATTTCTTCACAACATGCTTTGTGAAGAAATGAATGAAATTTTTATTGAATTAAAACTAGAACTAACACTAGACCTAGAACTAGAAACATTCTGAAGTCTGAAGACGCACGGCTAAACCCAAATGTTTCTAGTTTTAAGTCTAGTGTTTAATTCTAGTTTTGCACTAGCACTATCACTAGAACTAATATAAGACCTAGAACTAGAATCTAGGTTAGAATCTCTTCTAGATCTAGGTTAGTTCCAGCTTTAATTACTATTCAGCGTTAGATTGTGGTATATTTTTATTGAACGAAAAGTAGAATTAACACTAGACCTAAAACTAGAAACATTCAGGTTTAGCCGTGGGTCTCTTAAGACGGCCTAAAAATCAGGGTTGTTATAAGGACGTCACTTTTTTCCAAGCAAAACTTTTCCTTTGCAAAACTACCCAATGCCTGTACTATTAAGCTATGTTGCATTTTATGTGGGACAATGCAAGTATACAGTAATTTTGTAATTATGGTTACTGTATTCATATATTTTTAAGCAGTGTTTGTTTTTGATTAAACATTTTATAACTCATTGTAAGCTAAATTAAAATAACGGCATAATTTAATAGCTTCATTTTCATTTCGTAATTTTTGAAGCAAAAATTGTGTATATTCATAAATTCTTAAGACATTTTGACAAATTTCAGAGATATTACTAGAAATGAAAGTTCCTGAAAACACTTAGTCTTTAAATCATTTTGATAATTTTAGGATAATGTGCCGGTTTTTAAATCATATAACAACAGTTTTTGATACATTAAACAATTTTTCAAAAACTTTAGAGAAAAATTATTAACACACAAATACATTCTTACCAAGCATACAATAAAATTCATTTCACGTGATTACATTAACATACGACCGCAAGAAAAACAGTTTTGTTGGGAAACACGACGATTTCACTTTCTGCACAATTATTATTTTGTTTTACTTTTGGCGACTCACCACAATAGATACGATTGTCTTGTTTGGAAACACGACCATTAGCCTTCGCAACATGTTCACACACATATACCGTCACATTGTTGTCGAATAAATAATCAAAGACCTGTGTGCTTGTTCAATTGTTTCTCTAAGAGCATGAATTATTTGGACATTGTTAGAATACTATTTTAAATGTTCATTTTAAAATAATAATAACTTTTAATATAACCAGTATATCCGTAGGTGACTGTTTCTTTAATTAATGTTGACATTGGCATAAATTCTTACAATTTCAACACAATGCTGTTGTTTTGTAATTCATTTACATTTTAATTATATAAATGATAATCATAATGAGGGTTTTCTTCGCATATTAATGTATCTAAATCTTTTTTAATTATGATCAGCAGAATAAGAATTACATGATTTAAATTTAATTAAATTAACATTCTTTTTCTCAAGATATTCTAATTAGATGTTCATCTTCTTTGCTTCCGGATAGTTGTAAAAAAAGCAAAGGAAGAAAACGGTACAAAACGTTACGCTCGAAATCTATTATCTGACGTTGATCTGATAGATGTCCCCTTATCTAGATTTGTGTGAAACCAACAGACCATAACAAAGTTCTGGTCTAACGGTGGGTGTTTTTACGGAAACGTGTATGGAAATTTTCACAAATTTATTTTTAATTTAAAAAAAGGTAACAAAAATGACGTTGGATTCTGCCAAAAATACTATAACTTACTTCTAAGTACGACATAGATGTAAGTAGAGCGTAACAACCAAATATAAAAAACGTTTTAATAATTTCAAAACAAAAGGTTTTAGCAATTCAAAGCCTTGGACGGTGTAAATTAAACAATTTCAAAACAATCGTAAACCGAAAATAAATGTATTCATTAAGTCATTGTTATATAGCTTCAAAATGAGCTTTACGTTTTCTAAAGTGGTCAGTTTTCTACGACCTTACCAATATTACTACATGAAAAACAACTTACTTTCCGACTTTGCCTCGAGCACTTCTTTGTTTTTAACTGTTGTTGTAGTTGTAGGCGTTGTTGTATAAACGTCAGAAACAATTTGAACACTTCCTGGAGACGGCACTTCCGGTTTTCTGTAATGTAATACAGGTTAAAAATATAAGTCATATAGAAAGTTGGCATTATTCGAAAATAAATTGATTAAATACAAAATTTTAGTATGTAGAAACACAAATTAAAAATAACCTTATTAACCTCTTAAAGCATCAATTATAATGCGCTTGTTTTTAGATCAATTTTAATATTGTATATTTTCTTAACATACAAAGGAATTTATTTCTTTGCGAACCCTTTTGTTGTTTTTATCTTCTTTCTTGGATAGAGGAAACAAAGTCGATTTGGATTCTTTTTCTTTGCTGTTATTATTATTATTATTGCTGCTGGGTTGAGGGAGCGGCTCCTCTCGTTACTGCGACCTATAAGATCTATTGTAACTTTAACCCTCCAAAAGTTTAGGGCAAATCAAAATTTTGTGTCTTAAATTATGTTCAGCTGTTTCTGACTTGTCGTTCCAAAGTCGACAAGTTTAATCCTCAGCTTGTCCAATGCGGTTTCTTTGCTGTTGGTCGCACAAATGATGAAAAATGTCTTGCTGATAATCTCAATGGTGTTAGGGTATTGGCTGGATTTTTCAATGGAGGGTTCATTTACTTTCAGATTAAAATCAAGTGAATCTATTTGAAAGCCAATTTTTTTCTGGAAAGCACAAAATCATTATTATTACCAATATTTCGTTTCTTTATTATATCTTCTTCAGGCACTGAAGAAGTGTAAGTTCTTAGAAGTGGCGACACAAAACACAAAAAATTCAATGCAATTTAATGTTGCGAGCTGACGTTTATAAAACGCAACTAAGGAGTTTAAAGCTGGCTTAGACAAACATTGTTGTAAGTCAAAATTGTACAGTTGCAGACTCATCATTGGCATAACATGAATTCGAATCTAATTGTTTGTGCTCATAGGATTGATCAGCTACTGTCTTGTGTCAATCATGCTGAGCAAATAGAGCAAGCTTTAATATCCTCAGAAAGCTGTATTGTCATTATAAACTTATCACATGTAAAAGAAGTGTCTATACGTGGCTTTTTGAACAAAAAATTCAACTTACGAAACTTTTCGCAATAAATTTTTATGGAAGAAGGATTTTCGTTACTCACAGAGAACAATTTCTACATTTTTTGCATAGTTAAATAGAAGGTAAATACTTCTTCAAGGTAATTTTTCTTGTATAATAGCTTTCATAAGTTGAAATGACATAAGGTGAGATCTAATTTTTTCGCATTTAAAGTTTGACACTTTATCCAATGGATGCTCTTTCCTTACTGTTTTTATAAAGTTTTAATTCTCATCCTAAATCTTAATGAACAGCTACAACATATTTATAGGTTTTAATATGGAATTTCTGATTATCCGGATACGTATTCTTTGAGTAGCTTTATGTAGCTTTATATTAGCCTGTCTATCTTTCAATAACATACTTTACACTTTACCTTTCAATGTCTTGCACGTTTGGGCTGGATTAGATAAAAAATAGGAGAATATTCTCGAATTCCTCTTTTCAATACAAATACAGCTCGGCAAATTCAGTCTGACGGCTGTAACGTGGAATGGTTCATATTTATGGGATTAATTACTATGGAGGACTTATTTATGATGTTTAGAATCTATTTGGCGTAAAAAAATAATTTATTCTTTGAAACAAATAACAAAAAAAGCAACAAAAACGAGTATTATTATAAGAAAAATTAAACAATTAGTAGTTCGAATCTAATGAGTTTCCAGACAGCTCTGGCAAAGTTTCCAAATCACTGCATTCAATCACTTCAATATCAGAAAGGTCTTCATTGCCTTCATTAACCTCCACATTGGTGGCAGAATCTAATAATTTTAAATTATGAGCAATGAGTTATTTTACCAGCTCATAAGCCGATACTCGCAACCATACTTAGTATCTTGACCGCTACTTTACTTAATGTTTACCCAAAACAACCCACCATACAACGGGATGTAGTTTTTCAACGGATTTTAAAACATATGGTTTTCCTATGGCCAATTCTGCCATTACCTCTGCAGACTCATCTGGACTTGTTACAGAAATCATACTGTCTATAAACTCTGTTCCTTGCATTTGTTCTTTTCTATTAAGATGTATTCCATTAAAATTTGGATTTTATTTGCAGCAAGATGGATTGGATTTATTGCCATTTGCTTTTTCTTAACTAAAACTTTTTTACTTCCCTTTCTTCTTGGTTAAGCAAAGCGTTCCAACTCATAAAAGCATTCAGCTACTTCGCATAACCTTGGATTATCTCCTTCCAGTTGGGTTATGTATTTAACCCTTTGGATTAACCCAGTTATTTATCTAATAGGGTTTATTAGGTGATAAAAGTTTGAAACTTTTATCCAAAAAATATCCTCATCCAATCTTCAACTGTTTCACAAACTGCTAATGTTTTTAATGCATATTTTGTATCAAGAAGACTTTTTAAACGATCAATAATTGATCCCCATAGTGTTTTCACAGGTAATTTTAAAGAAATGGCTATTTTGATGTCATTTCTTTCAGTTTGCATTTTTTTGAGCCTTAACATGTTCCATAATAGTAGACATGGTTTTCATTTTTGAAATGTCTCCAATTAACAAATGTGTCCAACAAACAAAGAAATATGTTTGTACATTTCATGAAGTATATTTCATGGTTTAACCACTGCACTGGCATTGTATTCTCTCAAAATTTCATCGATTTTTTCAGCAATATATTCTGCGGTATGGTTTTTAATTGCCTTTGGTTGCTCCAACCATCACACTGTAAGCTAAGAGCATTCGCTTCTCCAATTTTCATTTTAATGTCGGCATGAACTTTTTCATACTCGGAGTCCAGTAATTTATTTGATAATAAATAACGTGTAGGCATTTTGAAAGATGGTGTCAAATGTTTGCCAGTGATTATTTTCAACAATGGCAAATGGAGTACCTATAGCATAAACACCCCTAGCTAATAGTTGATCTAGCTTTTCTTGTTCAACTTTATTCTTACAAGAATTTTCGTCTCTAGGCTGGATTTCGCTTTGTTCTCTTATCTTCTTTCATTTCAAACTACGTAGAATGCTTTGTTGCAGAATATTGCTAACTATCGGAATTGCCACGGAAGTTTTGTCATTTTCTGAACTAGATGAGGAACGTTCTTCATCGCCTAAAAACTGCTCCGGGTGCGATGTGTATTCCTTTCTAGCTTTTTAACAAATTGGAACTACGAATGGTCATATAAGAACGCTATAAATCATATGTCTGTACTAAATTTAACAGTTTTTATGTTGACTGGGTTTTAGTGATGAGCAATCCATATTGTTTTGAAGAACGCCCACCAAATTTAATACTTGAATCTTTAGCTAATTGTGAAGCAGCAGAACCCAATCTACTTAACAAACAGAAGTGTACTTTCTAGTAATACATGGGTTTACTTTTTGTGAAATTATGCAGTGAAGGTTATTAACAAATTCGTGATGTACTTGAATTAAACATTAACGGCTCGATGAGTAGAGTTAGGGACATGGAAACTTTTTAGCCGCGGAATCGGTAAATGACGAGTTGAATTCATATGTGCTTAACTTAATCTGAAAATGTTATAAGTAATTCCAATACCGAGGGCTATTCAAACCTTGAATAAATCTCAATTATCATTAAAATAGAATGTATATATATCTATATATATGTTAGAAGAGCTGAAAGCAATATCCAATCTGACCCAAAGGTGTTTTGGGCTTTTACTAAGTCTAAGAAGTTTTTGTCGATCCTGCTCCAATCCAGCAGAATCTAGATTGTGTAGAAATGGATGCCCTTCCTTTGAGTCAGATGCAGTTTGACAGAATTGAGGTTGAGGAAGACCTGAAGGGCGTCAGGATTACGGACAATATTAGTACTGATGGTATTCCATCAATTTTAATCAAGAAATGTTCACACTCTCTGTCCCTTCCTTTAACTATTTTATTTAATGCTTCATTAATAATGGGTGTTTTTCCTTCATTATGGAAGCGGACTTTTGTTCTTCCAATTTTTAAATCTTGGAACCGTGGTGATATATCTGATTATAGTCCCATATCTATTTTGCCAGCATTTGGGAAAGTATTTCATGCACGTCTATTCTTTGCCCTTAAGTCTAAAATCAATTGTAACAACATGTTTTTTTTTGCTGGTCGCTCGGTTGAGAGTAACTTGCTTGAATATACCTAGTATATCTTAACTTCTCTGGATGATTCTTGTCAAGTTGATTTAGTTTATACGGATTTTAGTACAGCTTTCGACCGGGTGGATCACAACTTACTTCTGTTTGAACTAATGAACTTTGGTGTTCAGGGGAAGCTTTTGCAATGGCTTGCTTTATATCTGAAGGAGAGATGCCAGATTGTTTCGGTTAATGGTTTTTTTCTAATCCTGTCGGTTCCTTCTGGTGTTCAACAGGGTAGCCATCTGGGTCCTTTACTGTTTAATATTTATATTAACGACATATTTGATGTCTTTAATTATACCCAATGTTTAATGTATGCTGACGATTGATTGTTCTAGACTGCAATCTGACTTAAACAATCTACATGCTTTTTGCTTAAATAATGGCCTTTCATTAAACTTATCAAAGTGTAGTATTAACATCATTTATTAGAGATTTGGGTGTTACATTTGATTATAAATTATTAATTGATAAACATATTGATACTGTTGTCTCCAAAGCCTAGCGTATGTTAGGATTTATTATGAGATCCACGGTAGCTTTTTCTAACATTGATGCAATTAGAAATCTCTATTTTGCCTATGTCTACAGTACACTTAACTTTTGCAGCGTCGTTTGGAATCCTCAGTATCTCTCGTATAAATCTAGAATTGAGCGTATTCAATCTAAATTCCTCAAATATCTTTGTTTTACATTTTCCGTTCAATACATTGATTACGAACCAACTTGCACTTCTTTTCGTATGTTAATAGTCAACCAGCGTCGCTTTTGTGGGGATATCTTATATTTTTACAATCTTTTGAACAACAAGTGTGATTCTCCAATACTTGTTGGTTCTATATATGTTCATGTTCCTCCGAGATTACTTCGCTTTGACTTTCTATTTATGACACCTACTCCTAGAACCAATGCCTGCCAAAACACTCCTTTATTGAGAATGGCAAGATCAGCAAATCGTGTTAACATAGATCTGTTTCAGCATTCTTTCTATGCATTTAAAAAACTGCTCTTTGCTGCAGTTGGTGTGTTGCCTCGAGCGTTTTACTTTTCTTCTTTTGATTCACTTTTGTACCATTAATATTAATTCATTATTATTATTGTGAACTGTAATTTTATTTGTATACAATTGGTTGTTTGTGGTACAGTGTTATTGGGTTCGACCTGTTTCTGTACCCACATGAGATAAATAAATAAATAAAATAAATAAATAATGTTATGCATTGATTACTTATTTGTACTTTTCAAAAACTCACGTTGAAATTTATGTTCAGAAGTATCATGATAGATATCTTAATCAAGAATCCATAAACGTTAACAAATAAACAATAAAGTTGTTTATCCGTTTTTAGAATTACTTAATAATTCTTGGTAAGTGAAACTCGTTTATAATATGAGTTTATATAATAGTATTATCTTACTATTATATTTATAGTATGAAATATTACAGTTAAAACAGTTAAATAATAAACATTAAATATGTTTTAATAAATATGTCAGCACATAGGCAGATGCCGACATTTTAAACGTTCCTGCTGCTTATACAAGATTATTAAGTACTATATATACAAATAAATTTCTAAGTAAAATTTTACCTAAGCTTAGTTAAATCCTCTTCATGCTTAGTGAGTTTGATTTGGCTCTCCAGGTCGGGCAGGTGTCTGTTAACTGTTAAGACTCCGCTCGAGTAGTTTGCGTGATGAGTAAATTTACATTTAAAATCTTCCGGTGGACCACATTCAAATAAATAACAACTTCCCACACTCTACACAAAAAAAAATTATTCAAAGACGATTTTAAAATGTATTTTAAACTTTGAATACTTAAACTGTTTTTAATAGTATTTAACGATTATGCTTTAGTGAACTTGACAATTCATAACAAAGCTATTAAGCTACTTAAGATCTTTAAGATTAAGACAAAAACACATTTTTGCAACACTTTATCAAATTTTTAATCAGTTATGTGTATTCATAATGCGCTGAATGCAAGTTATTCTAGAATTTTCATTTAAAAATGTATTATTATTTTCAAAAATTACCTTCTCTTCATAAATAAACACATCGCAGTTTTCTGTTTCACAACACAACCTGAGACACTCTTCCCTTGTGTCTAAATCAATTTCGTGTAAATATTTAGCGCCCATAGCTCTCGAATCTTGCGTTCTGATGATTTTATCCTTGTGGACGGCAAAGTTATCGATACAAGTCTTCAGGTCGACGTCGCCACCCTTTTTTACGTTGGAAACATTTTCGCCACCATCGCCGCCGTTCACTGTGTTATGCGCCACCAAAAGTTCAAATAATAACAAAATCAAAACCGAATATGGTGAGGAACGGAACATTTTTGTGGTATACTAGGGCGTTTCTGGTGCCGGCCGGATATTTACCCACAAACTCGTGCCAAAAATGGCGAAATAGGCTACCGGAAATCAGCTGACGAAGACAATCGATAACTTTGCGTCGACGCTTTATCAGCGTTGCTTTTACTAGACATAACGACGCCAACCATATAATTTCAAGTTTTCAAATTGAATTTGAAACGTTCGAGGTGAATGTGAAGATAATTTATACACTTTCTTTTTAAACACTAATAATAAATCGTTTCGTTTCAACTACTGCTATCTGTAACTATACACAGGTGTTGGTAGAATTGAATCGCCATATGCCGAAATACCATATGTCAAAAAAAGGGAAATGGGAAAACTGAAAATAATTTTATTGTTATTAAAATATAATTTATCTTTGCTTTCAAAGTAATCGATTCTAATGACTTTCTTGTCACTTAAGATCTGCTATCACCATCACTGCAGTAAGAGTAAACGATCTCGATTTTTCTCATAATAGACAGAAGATGTCTTGGAGAGATTTAAACAGCTTCTCAAAAAATTGCCTGAACGCAACAAAAACTTTTTTACCTTTGCTTATCTGTGAATTAATTTCCTATTTAAAACTTACATAATTAACAATATATCATCACTAAATTTACATTACTCGCTGTATACTGACCATGAAAGTTATGATTCTGTCATGAATTGTGGAAAATTGAAAGCTTTGTGTAAGTTTATGGAAATTACCTTGCAAAACTCCACTGCATTTTTTAGACGTTACAGAACTTCAATAGGAAGGCATAATGAAAAAACCACCACTACCTGTTTTCCAAAAATTGATCAAGTTTCAATCATCTAGAGACAGGTACATTTAGGACAACCCCATTGAATTTGCAATGGAGACGCATGCAAATGTTAGCAGAAGATAACAAAATTAACCACCGTTGAGACCTGAAAATAAAGATAACTTTAAGATTTTTTTGCAATGAGTGGTTTTTCTACTTTCTTTCGAAACCTTTCTTTAGCGATTCCTTCTTTCTGAAAGTAAATTTTTTATTTTGCGGGCTTCTTTAGCCTTATCCTTCATGGAACGCTTAGCATGGGCAATGCGAAATGAGTCGGCTTCGTGACAAAACTTAAAGTACGATCTTTCAATTCTTAATTTTAGTACATACTTGCATTATTTCCATAGTGCTTGTAAAACTGTCATTGCAAAATTGCAAACAGCTATATCGGACACAGTGCCAACCACTTTTATGCCACTATGAACCAGTTTAATAGACTATAACACAGCGTTACAAAAATAAAGTTTTCACACAGAAAAAAGTTCCGCAAATTTCCTCATTCAGTGGATTCTAAACAAAAAAACTTTTTTTTTAATTTCAGTTAATTTCCCCCTTACACGACATTACGGCAATACAGGTGGTAAGGTACAAGAAGACCTAACTAATATCCATTATGTAGAAAACAACAACTGGATATAATTAATGAACAGTGATTTGAAGTCGACGAAAAGGCTGCCAAAAATAAGCAAGAGAACGTTGGACTTATAGGACATCTTAAATCTATAAATGCATAGATTGTACTAATACGGGTTGAAATACTATGAGCTATCAGAAAAGGATTAATTGTAGCAGACTGCAAGTTCAGATATTCAAACGGGCGGATTACTCTCAAACTATAATGCAGACTATAAATACATGGTGGCACTCTTCATTAACAGATCAGGTATTTTTAACAACCTGTTGTAACAATCTGTTCATTTAAAATATACTGGAAAAGATTAATGCCAGTAATTAAACTGATGAAATTAGGAAGCACTTAATTGTGGACAGTTCCTTTTTGACTGATTCTTAAAAAACTTTAAGCGTATATGAATAATTTGATCTTGGGTATACAGACTGACGGTTGCAAAAGCCTTGAAATAAAAAAAAATATGGCAATACTCGTGAAAAAATACTTCGTGGACAATAAATTGGAAATGTCTAGACCAACGAAAATGACAGGCTTAAAAATACCTAAGTATTTCATAGAAGAGAGGATGAACTTTATTGAACTGGTATTATAACCCTTATTTGCCATGTATACAAAGAAATAACACAAACATCTACATATAAACCGTGATTGCCGGTGTAATAACATAAGAGGCTAACGTTTGTAAAGAAAAGGTGTTGCAGGGAAAGTCAGGATAAAATTGAATGGTACACAACACAGTACTTTCGGATCTTCATCGATGGAAGTATTGGCAATAATATTTGGGATACTGCCGATTGATTTAAAAATTCTCATGAAAGCATCATATTGGTTCAAAGAGCAGTAACTTGTAGTCAATTTGTTAGACAAACGATAACTATTACAAGGAGTCTTTCTATACATTATATTTTTATCCATCCTTAATAAAGTTGCGGGTGTTAGAGAACACTCTTTCTTTCACAGTCCAATCCATTATCCAGTTTATCAATGCTATCATCGAAACTAGTAGTTGCCGGTTCAGTATCTTTGCCTCGATGTAGGTGGTGAAGGCCTTTTCTTGGTGAAGACAAGATCATCAAGTGTTTGTGAGTTTCCCACCATTTCTCTTGGATGGGGCCACCAGAAGAGAAAAGTCTACTAACATATTTTTGTATGACAACTTCCAGTTTACTTTATCAGTTTGTATTAATTACAATGCAGGTTCAGTCACTTACTCTCCCTTAGATGCCTGCCCATATCTCAATTTCTTCATGATACTGGGTGTGTACTTCTACAATCCGATGAACGTTTTCGATCTTGCAATATCTATAGTTATGATTACTTACAAATCCATGTAAATAAAAGATACAATCATCACTAAAATAGATCCTGTGATACATTCATCACTAAAGCAAACCTTTTTACAAATACATTTTTGTTAAAAATTATAATGATAATTTCTTCACAAAACTATACTCTTCTGTCAAGATTGTTTTCAGTTAGTTCTGGATGCATTCTCAATTTGTAAACATGGAATTTATAAAGTTTTATAATGAACAGAACTCAAGGAAATTCCAGTTAGATTTCTAACATATCTAACGTAATGAAGTATTAATAGTGACGTAATGAAGCAATGCAGAAATTTGGCTCATTTCCTGCATTTCCATCATTGTGTTTTACATTTGCAACAGGGATGCATGACATTGATTTTCGACTTCTTAAACAATTTGAATCCTTTTTTGCGAACTGCAAACCATGATTATTATTTTATTTAAATAATTTTGAGCTGATAACAATTTATACCCACTAAAGCAACAGATAATGTATTTACAAAATAAGAGTACCGGAACAAAACTTTTTATGCAATTGCCTATTTTTCCTTCAATCACAAACACTAACGACGATTCGCTTTGGATCAAGACAAAATGGCGCACTACAAGAAGGACACAAGGTAACAAAACAAAGGAAGGCGTAGATATACTAGGAAACTTGGGACAGGGTGGAATGGAGGAAGCAACTAAAAACCAATGGGTTGCGAGACAACAACGATGAAATTAAACAACGATGCATGAAAGGGAGCCCTCAGTTATGTATATAGAAAGGAAGTAAGTGCTGCACATAGAAAATTAAAACCTAACAAATCACCAGGGGGAGATTACGTCTTGGCCGAAATAATAACAGCACTAGGAGGCCCGGGAATCGATGTTATGCACAAAATGATGACTTGACTAAATCGATATATATCACACTCCACAAAAAAAGTTCCAGAGAGAGGTATGTGACAATTATCCAATTATCGTGATGCTCTAAATAATAGCAAAAGGCCTAAAACCCTACATATTGTCATAAACACCACCGGAGCAAGCTTCGTACTAAGGCGTGGAACACGAGAACAAATATTGAACATAAGACATATCATAAAAAAGGTCAGAGAATTTAACATGCCTACTTACTTATGCTTTATAGATTACACAAAGGCCTTTGATTGCGTTCAATGCCACAATCTCTGGCACATCCTAGATAAAATGAGCATACAACAATAACAGAATAACACAACATACGGAAGAGTTGAGAATGAGTTGACTGACCTATAAAAAACCCAAAAAAGTGTCAGGCTGTCTGGTGCAGACTCAGTCACCTTCTATTCAACATCTTCGGCGAGTGGACCATGAGGAAAACCTTAGAAGTCTGGAATGGAGGCATAACAATAAGTTTGATTGCAGCATCAGAAGAGGAACTTAACGACCTCATCGGACGAATAAAGTAATGCAGCAATGAAATCGGTCTAACTGTGAACAAAAAGAAAACTACAATTTATTATAATTGACACACCGAATGATAACATATCTAAAATAAGGAAGATGGGTAATATCGACATAGTCACTGCGTTCATCTACCTTGGCTCATTAATCTCTAATGAAGGAGGCTCCAACGGAGAGATTAACAGGAGAAACGCGCTAGCGAAAAAACAAAAAAAAAAAATATATGGAGAAGTTATGCAATCTCTTTGCAAACGAAATGAGGCTGGTAAGGGGAGCCTGATAATTAAAAATAATAGACAAAAAGAAAATCGACACCCTGGAGATGTTTTGTTGGCTCGGAATGCTAAATTCCGTGTACTCAGAAGAGCACAGTCAATACTACCACAACTGAAACCATGGTGGCTGAAAACATTGCAATATTTTGTGAGTAGGTGGCGCGGTAAATTTTCCTTAGTACTTCCTAACTTACCTTAGGAAGAAGAAGAAAGCAACAGACAATGTATTTTCAAAAGAAGTGTACCGGAACAAAACCTTTTATGCAACTGCATATTTTTCTTTTTACCATTATTTTTTGATACTCTAATTACATTTTTAATCATTATTATTATAAGATAATTATTATAAGATTCGTTTTTTTCATGTTTTTGAAATATTTATTACAGTTTTTAATATTAGTGTTTGTTCAGATCCTCCTAAAGGAAAGTGTACAGCTAGAAATACAAAATAAAAGTGTATTTTAAACATCTCAAACACAAATAGATCAATTTAAAAAAAACCGGAGGAAAAATTGCAGTGTTTCAAAAGACCTCTGAATTCCATCCCATTTCATTTATGATTTTTAAGGGGGTAGCTTCCAGGTCAAACGGTTAAAGCGGCTGAGTCAATTTTTGCATAAAAAGTTATCTCCCTCCGCAATACTTTTTACATGTTTAAAAAATT